CCTGTGGAACACCCTCCTTTCAGATGTGAAGGAAATAAGCAGCTATCCTATCTTTCAAAGACATCTGAAGGCAGCCCTGTTCAGGGAAGTTTTTAATATTTAACGCTGTACTGTTTTTAACACTTGATTGGGAGCCGCCCAGAGTGGCTGGGGAAACTCAGCCAGATGAGCGGGGTATAAATAAATAATAATAATAATAATAATAATAATAATTATTATTATTATTATTATTATTTTAGCAAATGGACTTTTACTGCAATCTGCTTCTGATGCAGATTGAACAGTGACGGGGAACCTCCAGCCATAGGCTCAGCCAGGCTTTCAAGGGTCCCAGTTTGGCCTGTGATGCTGTTGTCCCCACTCCACACCCACCTGTGGGTCAGGTAAAGTGGGTCTGCAAGTGCTGCCACTCAGCACTTTCGCTGTGTGGTTTGTTTCCTAGAGCAGAGAAATCCAGATGGAGAAGTCTAGAGACTAGACTTCGAGCACAATTCAAAGTGTTGGTGCTGACCTTTAATGCCCTCAACGGCCTCAGCCCAGTGTACCCGAAGGAGCATCTCCACTCCAAACATTCTGCCCGGACACTGAGGTCCAGCTCTGAGTGCCTTCTGGCAGTTCCCTCTCTGCAAGAAGTGAAGTTACAGGGAACCAGGAAGAGGGCCTTTTTGGTAGTGGCGCCCGCCCTATGGAATGCCCTCCCATCAGAAGTCAAGGAAATAAACAACTACAGTGGTACCTCGGGTTACATATGCTTCAGGTTACAGCCTCTGCTAACCCAGAAATATTACCTCGGGTTAAGAACTTTGCTTCAGGATGAGAACAGAAATCGTGCTCCGGTGGCGCGGCGGCAGCAGGAGGCCCCATTAGCTAAAGTGGTGCTTCAGGTTAAGAACAGTTTCAGGTTAAGAACAGACCTCCGGAACGAATTAAGTACTTAACCCGAGGTACCACTGTATCTGACTTTTAGAAGACATCTGAAGGCTGCCCTGTTTAGGGAAGTTTTTAATGTCTGATGTTTTATTGGTTTATTATCATCACCACCATCACCATCATTATTATCATTAATTCTGTTGTGAGCTGCCCAGAGTGGCTGGGGAAACCCAGCCAGATTCGCGGGGTATAAATAATAACACTATTATTATAGGATCTAGGTGGCATTTCTCCATGTCCATCTGACTACCAAGTATTGGAGTGACTTTACCTACCCAGGCTGGTTATTGGCTCTCCTGAACAGGAAGGGCTATAAAAACTTCATGTTCAGAGCTTTGCCTGGGTAATGATAGTGTCTCCTTCCTTGTTAACTGGTTCTGAATTTCTGGCTCAATTCCCTCAATACCAATCCTTGACTTGTCCCCTGGTCTTGACAGTTGCACAGTTCTGACATTTCTGCTAAACAGGACCAGCCGGGTGCTTGGAGATATTTACTTGCAAACTTGTACTTAAACAGTTTACCAGTAACTACTTTCTTGACAGAAACGCATTGCCTTCCCCCCTTTGTTTTTCCTTTCTTTAACCAAAGTAAGTTTCTTTTCTGTAACCAAAGTAATATAATGTATTGTGAAACTTGGTTTGACAAGTATCCAATAAAGAGATTTGGGAAGTGGGAAATAAAATAAAACCCCTTGTACTTAAATATTTCTCTGTCCCTTTCCTGAGTGGTGGAAGACCAGAGCGGTGCTCCTCTTCACAGGGTCTTTGGGGAAAACAATCCATTTATTTGCAAACGATAGGCTGAGAAGGAATGATAAGGAATTGGCAGTCGGCATTTGCAGTGCCAGTCCCAACCACAGGGATCAAAACGCCTCTGAGGCTGCTTTTCTCTAGCTGTTTGCCAGCAATTAATAGTAGTACAAAATTACATTCAGTGCCTCCACCCTTTAACTTCCACAAAGTGTGGCTTTCAGGAAAATTTGATCCAGTCTCCCAGTCAAAAGCAGGAAGACAGCAAACCACCTTTAACTGAATTGCATCAAGCAGGTTTCACCTTGATACCAATGAACCAAATGGAAATGGAATTCCTCTAGTGTACAGGACAATTCATGTCACTAGTCCATACTGGGTGCTGCCAGTGACTCTAAACAGAAAGCATACATTGTATAGGCCAGGGGCCAGCAACCTTTTTCAGCTGTGGGCCGGTCCACCGTCCCTCAGACCATGTGGGAGGCCGGACTATATTTTGAAAAAAAATAATGAACGAATTCCTATGCTCCACAAATAACCCAGAGATGCATTTTAAATAAAAGCACACATTCTACTCATGTAAAAACACCAGGCAGGCCCCACAAATAACCCAGAGATGCATTTTAAATAAAAGGACACATTCTACTCATGTAAAAACACGCTGATTCCTGGACCATCCGAGGGCCAGATTGAGAAGGCAATTGGGCCGCATCTGGCCCCCGGGCCTTAGGTTGCCTACCCCTGGTATAGGCAATAGGAGCCAACTCTAGGGGACCGTGGGAGCTTGGACACCCACAAGAATATAATGCCGGGGGCCGGGCACCCACAAAGTTAGCAGGCGGCAGCAGCACTGCCCCCAAGTGAGAGGCAGCCAGCCAACCTCTGCGGCGCTGCCCCTGAGAGAGAAGCAGTTGAGCTCTGTCCTCTGCTGCCATGGAGCAAGGCACCCTTTTTCAGGGGGAGGGGGTCCTCAAATGCAGAGTTTGAGCCCTTCCCCGTGGATAAAGGTAACTCACTGGCTGTGGAGAGGAGGAGGAAGAGGAGCTGCTACCACTACCAGCTGCTGCAATGTGGATGTGCGACATAATAATAATAATAATAATAATAATAATAATAATAATTGTACCCCCGCCCATCTGGCTGGGTTTCCCCAGCCACTCTGGGCGGCTTCCAACAAAGATTAAAAATACATTAAAATGTCACACATTAAAAACTTCCCTGAACAGGGCTGACTTCAGATGTCTTCTGAAAGTCAGATAGTTGTTTATTTCCTTGACATCTGATGGGAGGGCGTTCCACAGGGTGGGCGCCACTACCAAGAAGGCCCTCCGCCTGGTTCCCTGTAGCTTTGCTTCTTGACTTGCAGGAGGAGGAGGAGGAAGGGAAGACAGCATGTGGAAGGAGCATAGTTGTCAACCGTCCCTTATTTGGCGGGAAACTCCCTTATCCCAGCGCCGTGTCCCGCTGCTGTCCCTTATTGATGATGTCCCTTAAATTTCCCGGGTTTCAAAGGAAGCAGCTCCTCTCCTTCCCTCCCTCCCTGCCGGCCAGGGAGGAGGGAGGCTCCAACTGTGTTGCTTGGATGCGTTGCTCACCCAATAAGGAGTCTAAGAATGACTGGGGGGTGGAGCTTGCATGCCTTGTGCCCTTCTGCGTTGCCTGGGGACTCGCCTTTGCTCAGCGCTTCCCAGCAGAGAGATGATGGTGGTTTTCCTTGCTGCATCCCCTTTGCCGGGTTGCTGCGCTGTGGGAACCACCGCTTGAGGCTTCGTTTGGCTGCTGGCTGGGTTTTCTGCCTTTGGCTCGGAGGGGCTCAGAAGCTGAACATACCTGTGCCCGGAAAATCCCTTATTTTGGCTGCTGGTCCCTTATTTTCAAATCTGTAAGTTGACAGCTATGTGAAGGAGAGAGGTAGGCAGGAAGGCAGACAGACAGACAGAATGCTGGAGGAGGAAGTGGATGAGGGGAGGCCGAGCCGAGCCGAGCAGACCTGACCCTGATGGCAGTGGCTGAAGTGTGAAAGGAGACGGAAAGCAAATGTTTGGAGTTTTCTGGTCCATGGTCTCTCCTGGCTTTGGAGGCCCGAATACAGCTCCTTGCCAAGGGTGCAAGGGAGCCTAGGTAGGCCTCAACACAGCCCCACCAATTCAATTTTCCCATCACTCGTTAAAGCTGGTGCCTTCCCATTAAATCAATGAAAGCATACCATCCTGATTTTCCTAGCCCACCATCAGGAACTGCCTATCAGGGCTAAAATCAGGAACCTGTAGTGGGCTCCTGTCCATTTTAGCTACCCACTGTTTCCCCCATACCAAGGGGTCAGGAGAACAAGGCAATGCACACCACTGCTGGTTGCACAGTGTGGCTGAAAGGCGACACATAGCGACCTGAGAGTCCACATGAATGGCACCCAACAACAGACCATATAATTTATTTTCCCGAGGTGCTGCAAAGTCTTGGCTCCGATCTAACTATTTCCAACTTCACGTCATAAAATGCTAAATCAAGCGATTCGGTCATAGGCTCTTAACTGTTCTACCGCTTAGGCTCTTTGAAAATGTGTGCGTGTTTCTCCTCTGGGTAAACATGAGCCACACGTTCTATCACAAAATACCGTTTGACAAGATGACGTCGAAAAGCACGCATTCAGCATTTTGAACGGAGGCTATACTAGATTCCTCCACTGTGTTAATTATTCCTCACCTTATGAATCTACTCCAGTTTTCAGAGTTCGGCTGTGTCTCAGAATGCCTCCTCCAATGCTGTGTCATGTTTTGTTTACGAGGCAAAAGCTGCAGGAGTCACCCTAACTCATGCCATGCACAGGAACAGAGGAAGCTGCTTTATACAGAGTCAGGCCCTTGGTCCATCCAGCACATGACTATCTGCACTGACTTGCAGTGGCTCTCCAAGGTTTACGGCAGGTGTCTCTTCAAACCGTACCTGAAGATGCTGGGGCAGGGGTCAGGAAACTTACCGCGCCTTGGGCCAGCGTCTCCAGCGCCGATTGCGTGGCAGGCCAGAGGGCAGGGAGGCCGTGCCCATACACGTGCGCACACGCTGTTTCTGGTGCACTTTCGGGTTGGAGGAGCACCAGAAATAGCTTGTGCGCATGTGCACGGGCCTCCTCCAACCCAGATGTGCAAAGGAAATAACGCTTGCGCATGCGCAAAAGCTAATTCCGGTGCTCCTCTGACCCGGAAGTGGGCAGCCGCGCAGCGCAGCACCGGTAAGAGTGGGCAGCGGCAGCAGGTGGCGGCAGTCGCCGTGGGCCGGATAAATGAGTCCCTCAGGCCTTATCCGGCCCACGAGCCTTAGTTTGGGGACCCCTGTGCTGGGGGATTGAACTTGCCACCTTCTGCTTGCAAGGCAGTTGCTCTACCACTAGGCTATGACCCCTCCATTCCATTCCATTACAGCTAGCAAGATATTCTGTTATAGAAACAAGCCATCATTTTGAGACAAGGCTGCCACATTGATGTTTTGATTTACCTTTTCTTGCCTTCTCTTGGGCTGCATACATACCATATATTTAAAGCAAGTCGTTCCCCCTCCATTAGGAATCCTGGGAACTGGAGTTTGTTCAGTGTGTTGGGAGTTGTAGCTTTGTGGAGGCCTATGCTACTGTTTACAAGACTCTTTTTGGGGTAAAATTGTGCTTTAAATGGAAGGAAGAAGAAGTTCCCACCAAAGAAGAATGGATAAGCAAGGCAATGGATTACAGTGGTGCCTTGGTTCTCAAACGGCTTAGTTGACGAACAAATTGGCTCCTGAACACTGCAAACGCGGAAGTAAGTGTCCCGGTTTGTGAATGTTTTTTGGAAGCTGAATGTCCGATGTGGCTTCCTCTTGAGTGTAGGAAGCTCCTGCAGCCAATCAGAAGCTGTGCCTTGGTTTCCAAATGGTTTCGGGCGTCAAACGGACTTCCTGAACGGATTAAGTTTGAGAACCAAGGTACCACTGTATGCTGAACTTGCAAAGTTAAGAGCTAAAATAAGAAAACCTAATGATGATTGTTTTGTGGAAGAATGAAAGCCCTTTTCAGACTATTTAAGGAAATATTACAGTACAGTGGTACCTTGGGTTACAGATGCTTCAGGTTACAGACTCCGCTAACCCAGAAATAGTACCTCAGGTTAAGAACTTTGCTTCAGGATGAGAGCAGAAATTGTGCAGTGGTCGCGCGGCAGCAGTGGGAGGCCCCATTAGCTAAAGTGGTGCTTCAGGTTAAGAACAGTTTCAGGTTAAGAATGGACCTCCAGAACGAATTAAGTATGTAACCCAAGGTACCACTGTATGATGAACTCGTGAGCGGGATTTGAATTATGAGCAACCGAAGGATTTAGAGAATACAGTATTGTTGTTATGGGATAAGAAATCGAAGGTAGTGTGCAGCAGAGGGGGATAAATAAAAACACCCTGGAAAATGAGGTGGGAAGTGGAAAAGAAGATAAATTTATGATGTACTGAAGATTATATGTTAAACTTTTGAAAACTTAATAAAATTGATTATAGAGCGGGGGGGGATAAAATAAAATAAAATTGTGCTTTAAATGTATGGTGTGTATGCAGGATACAGAACCATGGTAGACACCAGCATTTGTTGAATCTCTTCCTGTTCTGCCTATGTTGTCAAATAGCGTACGTCAAGGTGCTCCCAAAATATGTATTTAAAGTATTATGTAAAAAGGTAAAGGTAAAGGGACCCCTGACCATTAGGTCCAGTCGTGGCTGATTCTGGGGTTGCGGCACTCATCTCGCTTTATTGGCCGAGGCAGCCGGCGTACAGCTTCCGGGTCATGTGGCCAGCATGACTAAGCCGCTTCTGGCGAACCAGAGCAGCGCATGGAAACACCGTTTACCTTCCCGACGGAGCGGTACCTATTTATCTACTTCTACTTTGACATGCTTTTGAACTGCTAGGTTGGCAGGAGCAGGGACCGAACAACGGGAGCTCACCCCTTCGCGGGGATTCGAATCGCCAACCTTCTGATCGGCAATGTGCATACCACATGCACACATGTGAACCAGAAATGAGAAGCATATGTTAAGTTTCTTACCAGCATTGTACCAAAAGAGTTAAGTGGTAAAAGTTCAGCTCCGAAAGGACACTCCTCTGGAAGAAGGAAGAGCTTGGAATGTGTTTTCCTCCTCTGTGATGGAATCTGCGGCTGACAATGATTTGTAATACTCATCCTCCCAATCAAGCACTTTTATTTGCCTGAGGAAAAAGAAGGAAACACAAACCATTCTGAATGGCTCACCCCATTTTTTTTTAGAAGTTTATGTTTACTGGGTACAAAATGTGCTTTCATATGGGTGGTAGAACAAAAACAATCTTGTGCTTGATGACTGACTGTTGGCTGGTGAAGTTAGGGTTGCCATGAATTTTCTGGACATAGCTGGTATTTGGCCCTTGCAAACAGTGTCTGGGTGGAAATCGCTGAAATGTCTGGGAAAATCTGGACGTATGGCAGCCCGTGTCAGAAGTGTAGATTTTGGCAGATTTCATTAAAAAGAGCTCATTTTTCCGTTGAGATTTTACAAATAAAGCTCAACAACTTTTGTTGATTTTCACTTTTTGAAATATGGCAACCCTAGGTGAAGTATATGGCTTCTCTGGGCCGAGCCTCAAAGAATAATACACTGCAGCTGCAATCATATGCACATTAACCTGGGAGTGAGTCCAGCTGAACTCAGTGGGGCCTACTTCAGAGTAGACATGCACTAGCTCCCTAGAGTCACTGGGATCAATTTAAGGTGTTGGCTTTGAGTTAGGACTCTTCCAGGCTTTAAAACCCAGGAACATAGCATGCTACTACCTGCTTAGGAGCTATGTATGAATCATTCGTCAATAATACAGTCTGGATTTATGGTGTTTCAAAGTTTCTATAGTGAGGAAAGCCATGATTTGGTTTTCTGTCAAATGATTCTTACAAATCCATGCCACACGAAGTCAGTGCAGTCCTTGTTTGTTTTTAAGTGATCAGCCATACTTCTAAAATAACCAAGATGCTTCCTGAATAACTCACAGAAGCTTCACACAATGAGAAGGTTCCACTTCTGGTGGATAGTTGATCAATGACAAAAATCCCCAGCAATTATGCTGTGGCGTCGTGCACATAGTCAACGGATATTCATGTAATGGAATAGCACTGTTACGTATTCAGTGGTCTGTGTTTGCCTGAGCTTGAGTCTGGACTAAGGATTCTGAGCCCCTGTGTTCTGATTGGATACATGATATCCAATCACAGAACATTTCAGGATTTGGGCCTCTGCCATTGGCCCTTAAACTCTGAGTCATGATTCGCAGCTTGGAAGTTTAGACAGCCAATGGCATTGGGAGTGGGAGTGGCCCAGGCCTTCAGAAATGTATAGAAGCAGTTGCTTTGGCCCTGTTGTCCAGTTCTGTTAGTTCAATAAACGTTCTTGCTGTTATCACTGTGTCTTGCCTCGTGGGAACCCACCTACGCTTCAAGCACCACTGCTTATGGGCTGCTTAAACTTTGTGGATGGATCCTAAGAACTGCAAGGGGAATTTTACACACGGAAGGTTTCCTGCCTCCTCTTCCTTGCTGTGGCTCCTTGTTTCCCTGCCCCAAGGGTAGGTCAGGAGATGCTCTGGAACAGTGTGGGGTGTTATGGGGAGCTTTAGGTGAGAGACACACTGGTAGAAATTGGAGGCCTCCTCCCTTGTGTGAATGGAAGTGTTTTCCACTTGCTCAACAGGCTCCCTTGGTCCTGCCCTGAGTGGTTATTAAAAATTGCACACTGAGATAAAAAAACTGTTCCTATATGGCACTAGGAGAAGGTAACTGCATTGCTAGCGTGATTCTCTCTATAAGACAAGATGCCGTTCCCAGACAGCATACACAGAAAGTAGTAGTAATAGTGGTAATTTGTCGAACTATTATTTGTAAACACACACATGAAACAACAAAGGATTATAACATACTAAAGGAAATCTTAAATGAATGTTCACAAACAAATTGGGTTGGATTCAGACTCAGTTGAACCTAGGCTGCAGTGAAATCAAGGGGGCGAGTTAATTATGACTTGTGTTTCATTGATGTCAATGGGGACCAAGCACAGCTTTCTTTGATTGTATCCATTCCCTCACAACACACTTTATTTGGATTTATATACTCTTTAACTGTATCCATTCCCTCACAACACACTTTATTTGGATGCCGTTCTACCAAGGCATCCAAGCTGGTTTACAATTTTAAAACACCAATACAAGCAAGTTATATAAAATGCAGATATGTCTGAATCACATTTGAGGTTCAGAAGCATCATAAGGTTATTTTATCTGGGATGGCTTTTGAGGGTCAGGTGGTGGTTGTTGCTAGCATGCTTTATAACTGATGTACTCGGTGGCTATCTGATCTAGGGATTCACTGGAAAACAAGAACAGGACACTTCATAATTGAGAGTGTGCATGATTTTCCCTTTAAGGAAACTGAATCTGCGTAAGGGAAAAGGAGTCGCAAACAAAGCAGACCACAGCCAAGAATGAACATGGACCGCCTCTGTTGAGGAACAAATGCTTTGTTTGCCTTTTCTGCCTTTTCTCCCTTCAGCTGGTCCATGTCAGAGACCAGGAAGGACGTCTGCATTTTACTGCCCCTCATTCTGAGCCAGTGCAGACAGTTGGCAGACATTTGCTTCTAGGACTCCCAGTCCACTCCTTGTATCAAACCCATTACAAAACAAAGAAAGAAAAATCAAAACTTTGCAGAAATTCCGTCAAGAAGAACCTGTCCGGTTGCCCTCAGTCTTGCAAGAGATGGTTGCCACGTTTTAGCAGACAAGATTAGACGCCGTTTTCTGTTTGCTTCTGTAGCAGAATACCCAAAGTTGCTATATTGAGTCTGGCTGTTTATTTTTAGAATTCTCTCCAGAAAGTTTGTGCGTTTTCTGTAATATCACAAAGGACCTTCTTCTGTTTACAGTTGCTTAGAACTAAGAAGATAGCTATTTACCCAAGTTTTCTTGGCTTCCTCTTGCTCCCTTGATATTCTAGAGCTCCCTGTGGAGAGGGCCAAGAACACACAGTCAAAGCAAGGCAGCAAGTCGTTAATTTTTAATTCAAAGTGATTTTGTGTTGAATGCAAGCAGATGCTGATAATATCAGAAGTCACAGCATAATTTTTTTGATCAAAGGGCTCAAGCGAGCCTGATGAAGCATGCATCTTGCTCGTCTTTGATAAACCACATCAATTATTCACCGTGAAGGCAGACATCCTGACATGAAAGCAACAGATAAAGAGCATAAGCACATGTTCAAGACGAGAGCTGAAGAACGTCAGGGTGGGGTGGGGGCAACGGGGTGGGGGAACTGGAGGGGTTGGAACAGGTATCAATAACAAAATTATTAACTGGAGACAAAGCCAGTA